CTACCCCCTGCCTCTTATCTCTTGTCCAACTCCTTTTTATTCAGTCTTTCTTTCACAAACATTTACACACACAAGCAATTTCACACCTTAATACTCCACTTGAGGCAATGGGGCTATTCAAGCGTATGAAGTTATTTACATACAGAGAATGAAAACTCTCAACTCCAAGCTCCTGGGGGTGCTGAACATACCTTCATCTCTCTTTGCAAAGCACCATGGAAATATATGGCCATGTAACTGCACAATGTATAGTTTCCTGTCAGAATTACTAAATTTGGTTGTCGTCAAACCAAGTGGCAAACGTGAGCCATATGATCTTATGCTACATGATAAAAAAACCTCAAAATACTCTCTACAAAAAAACCTAGTATGTAGCTTTAAATGCAAAGCTTTACAGTGCAGACAAGACCATGAAGCAGTTTTACTCTTTGTTTACTACTTGCATTTATAGTGATACACTTGGTTGCTTACAGCTAAGCTTTAGGGAGTATTTATAGGAGATGATGCAAAGCCCAAGCATGTTCAAGTTTAGTTCACCATCATAATATAATTACTTGCAACACTCTCCATGGGAGTCCAGCCTTCTGTAATTTAGATGCCATCATGAAGTTTAAATAATTAAGAAATTGATTTCTCAGCTAATGAAGACCTTCCCCAGGAAAATTAAGGTATCCTTTTCTGCTACAATAGTCAGAAAAGTTTCAAAAAGATCAAACTTCTTTCCACAAAGAATTTAAGGAAAAAATCTCACACAGCAGCAGCTGTAAGATTTTTTCAAAATTGTTCTTCCTGGCAGTTAACCTTAGGTCACCATGTATGTATGGCAGAGCAGTCACTGGAAAACAGGCCAAAACATTGGGCTACCTAAGGATATTTAAACCCTTTTAATTCAGAACATCACTGAAAAAACTTCTTAATCCTGGAAATACTTCATTAAAAGAAAAATCCCACTTAAAGATACCTACACAAATGCAAGCTCTCCAAAACTAGAAGTTGTGAAGACTCTAACCCTTCCTGGGTATGCCATTTGTAACCTTAATGAACAATAAAAAACCTTCCTAACATCCTGAATTAGTGAGAAGCTGGCAAGCGAGCTGGCAGGCCGGCCAGGCCGGAGCTGCAGTGCGGCCCGAGGCTCCGCTCAGCCCAGGGCCCTCAGGCTCCCGCTGCCATCTTCACCCTCAGCGGCCTCCCCGCTTCCCCGGCAGGCCCACCCCGTCGCTCAGCCGCGCTCTGGGGCACTTTCTCCTTAAAAGCCTCTAAAAACAATAGGAAATCAGCAGGCGGTCGGCTCTTTAGTCGACATGAAGCCCAAGGCTGCAAAGGGCCGGTCAGTTCCAGACACCCCGCCGGCCGCCCAAGCAGGTTCCGAGGTCCGGACACAGAAGGCACGAGGGGCTCGGGGGCGGGGCGGGCCCCCCC